TTGTCCTTTTAGAGTAATTATGAATTTTTGTCATGAAATTAGTGTTTTATTTTTGTAGAAAAGTTATTTATCTTTATGAGTGTATAGTTTAAAATTTAGAGTGTTAAAAGGTTATATATATATATTGCTCTTATAATGGGTAAAAATAGTAAAGTATGAAATTTACATTAAGAATGGTTTTAGTTCTTGTACTTTTTAAAAGAAAGCTCTAAATGATAAGGTATTTTCTATAGAGTTCTTTTTGTTTAATAACACATTATAATAACCTTACATTAATGGTGTGCACAGTGAGAAAAAAAACCAGACCATCCTGCATAACTTTTGATCTATAAATCGGATCTTCACTTTCTAGGACTCAAACTTAATGGTTCGAATGAGGATATCAACTGTATAAATTAATAAGTGCAGACGATATTTTAAGTTACGAAATCAGACTCAAAAACGTACTTTCTGAGTATAAACGTACCTTTTTTCAGCGGCTACCGATATTTGACCCCCAAAATATAGGGAGTAACCGTAATATGGGATATATGGTCCCTATAGTTAGATCAGGAGAGCGATCCGAAGTTTGGATCCCTTAATGTAAATTTTTTTTTTTGCGTATTTCATCATGTCTCGAGAACTTTTTAAGCGAATTGAAAAAATTTTGGAAAACAATTATAAAATTCGTTTATACAAAGATAATTCTCCGCAAAAAATAAATTTTAGTAAATATTTATTTTTTTTTATTATTTTATTTACTAATAGTCGAAACAAAATTTGAATTGTAAGGTATGCAACTTTTTACATCATTTCAATGTATTTAATCTTACATGACAAAATACAAAATTTGAGCAAAATCGATTGAATAGTTTTTGGGAAATATAATTTTAAAATAGTCGTATGTGAAAAATTCAATTTCTCAGAAACTATTCAATCAATTTTTCTCAGATTTTGAAATTTGCCGTATAAAATCAAAAAAAAAAAAAAAAATTATGCCTTACAATTTAATTTTTTTTGCTATTCTTAAATAAAATAGTAAAAAATTATCTATATTTACAAAGATTTCTTTTTGCGTGGAATTATTTTTGGAGAAAACGTATTTTATAGCTGTGCGTAAAAAATTTTCATTTCGGTTCAAAGGTTCTCGAGCTATGGCGAAATACTTAGAAAATAAAATTAACATTGGCACCCTGTGCATCAAAATGTGATGGTATAAAGGAAAAAAGTACGTGAAAGAAAACATACTTTTATGGGGATTATTCTCTGTAAGATGATCCTACCCCCCTGAATGCTGGTGTCATTTTTATTAAATTTTGTTTAATAGTACAAAATGATATTTGTGGAAAACTTTCTTTAACAAGTATCAGATTTTTTTTTAAAGAAAAAATAATAAAAATACTAAATAGAAAAATTCTTGAAAGTTATTAAACTTTCAAGATGTTCAAATCGGGCTTTTTTCATTAGTTACTAAATAAATTTTACTACAAAATTATGAAAAATATTTTTAAACGTTTTCCGCACATGAAAGAATTATTTTTAATGTTCATATCTTGCACAATTTTCAATGAATATTTTTCAATATTTCTTATTAATTAAAAATTGCTTCAAAAATTTTGCTTAATTCTATCCAATAATTTTAATGTTATGCAAAAAGACATCACAAAATAAATAGTTTTTCATAAAAATGTCCACATCTCCATAAACATTTAAGCTAAGTTTATGAATTTTTTTCAAGTATTGCAAATAACAACCAAAATACAAAATAAATAATACCTAATAATCTATACAAGATACAAGTTTATTACTACATTTTCTGGTATAAATTGTTCACAAATTTCGTGATTTTGTTTGTAATTTATTTCCAGTCCTTTAAACCTTTGAAAACTTTAAAATTTATTGATAAGCATGAGAAAAATAGCATTCCCTGAAATAATATTAAATTTGAAAATTCTTTTTAAATTCAAGATTTAATCAAGAATCAATCAAGAAATAATAAAGTGAAAATTATTTCTTGAAATAATATCGAATTAAAATAATATTTCTTGAAAAATTAAAAAAAAAAAAGGCAAAAACTGTAAGTGTCTCTTCCATTATTGTAGGATAGTGTATATTGTTTTCAGTTTCTTGTGTGAAATGTTTGTAAGATTTGTTATTCTACTCTTACAAGGGAGGTAGGAATTTTGAAAATTGTACGTGAATCAAAGTAAGTTTAAAATAAAGATCATGGTCGGTAACATAAGATCACGTGGGCTTTTAGTCTGAGTGGAATAATGGTTCTCAAAGGGTGTTCCGTGGAACCTTAGGGTTCCGTGGAAATGTTACAGGAGTTCTGAGAGTTAGTAACTTTTTCTTAACTGGTAATGCTTTTCGATATCTGTAATTAAATTTATGATGATTTTTTTTCTTCAAATTAATGATAGGTTATTTATTCAATATTTCCGTTATTTTTATGAAATTATTTAGTTGAAATGCTTGTGAAGAAAGAAATTTTAACAAAATTTTTTTTTGTAATGAAAATGTAATAAATAAATTCTGAAAATGATATTCACTTATGAAAATTTTAATTAGTATTTCAAATTTAATAAAACTATTGAAATTCAACAAAGAAGAAGAATATTTCTCTGATAATTATTCTCAACATTTATTTTCTTCTTTTTCGCTTTTATGTTAGTGTAAACCATATTTCAGCTCTTCACTTTCAGTTTATGCATGCATTAAAATCGAATTTAGAACTTGACTAGATTCCGCTTTTCAGACCTGTGAATTCAACTGTCTGACATATAAAATAAATTTTATGTCTATATAATTGAATGACGAAATTAATAAACTATATAATGAAAAAATTTCTTTCTCCACTCATTCACTAAATATTTTCAAAATAATTATTAGTCCATTCATTAATAAATTCACAATTGCTGATAAAATTTATCCATTAAGTCTCAGGGTTCCGCCAAAAAAAGCTCGATCTTTTCGGGTTCCACAATAAAAAAAAAAAAAAAAAAAAAAAAAAAAAAAAAAAAAAAAAAAAAAAAAAAAAAAANATACTTGTATACTGACATAGATATATAGGGTTATTCACAATTCCCTCCGGGGTTTCGAAGTGTTATAGTAAAAAAACGAAGACGAATATGGCAAAAAAGAACAAATGAAATTATTCCGAAAGTATTCAAGTTTTAATTTAAGCAGTTGCCGGTAGATGGCAGTAACATGTACCACTGAAGCCAGTTGTAGTAAAGAAAAATGGCGTTTACATGCGGAAGGAATTATGAATAGCCCTTTATAATCATACTTAGAGAATTTTCACATACTTACTTTATTATAGGAAAAAAAAATTAAAATTTTTGTTAAATTCATTTTGTTGGTCCTAGCAACATATGAAAAAAATATTTTTGCTTAATCTTTGACCAAAGTATGAACTACAACAGATGTTTCTAAACACCATTTAGCAGTTATGGAATTTGTAGTACTGGACTTTGACCCTCGTAACAAGTAAAAAAAAATTCAATTACATCTATGAATGTTTGAAATATTTGAATAAACATTATTTGGTTTAACGTTTATGTTTCTCTTTATTTGTTTAGCTAATAAAGACTGTTTAAAAATTTCATTAAAAAAAACTAGTTTTAATTGCATGAATATTCAACTTTAACCAACTTTCAAGTCAAGAAAACAGGAACATGAATGCTATCCAGGGTTTACCCTGGTACAATATTTCTTACTTAATAAAAAAAAACCCTGATGTGTATGACAAAAATTGTTTACAAATTAACACTTAACAGGCAGTTCAAATCAGCGTTGTCTTTCTCGGATCTCGGGCATTTATTAGGTTATGTTTAAACTTAGCTTCTACTTGTGCATTACAGGCCGGGATAGCCTGGTCTATAGGGAGCTGGGCCAATGTCCGAGAGCTCGTGGGTTCGAACCCCACCGGTCGAAGACTCCATGTGAAGTGACTGATGCACGTTAAATCTGTCGAGTCACAAAAGTCCTCCGTTGTTCCCATAACAAATCAAAACCTCTGGGGGTACTGGATTGGAGATCGATCGTTCTCTGATTCAGGTAAAAATTACGATTTGTGGATGAATGAACGGATGTATGAATGGGTCCGCCCTATAGCCAGGTGTGACGTATGATGTGCCAGAAGTTGAATTCTTGGCCATAGATGGCGCCATTGAAAAACAAGAATCGCACACTCTGCCTTAAATTTGCTCGGTTTCACCCAGCAGGCTTGCTCGTGTGGCAAGTGGCATTAGAACCAACCAACCAACCAACTTGTGCATTACAAATACAATATTAAATGGTTTTGCCCCAATATATGCTTCTTTTAAAATGAAAATGCTTTTGGTAGTTACGACAGTTCTTAGCTATCTTTCTTTTCCTAATTTATGTTCCAAATTAAAAAATGTTTGTAATCATTGTAACTTTGATAATACTATTACTAACCACACCAAGAAAAATTAGCATTATGTTTCTTTTGAAATGAAAATGTTTTTGGTAGTTATGACAGTTTTTTACTATCTTTCTTTTTCTAATTTGTGTACCAAATTTAAAAATGTTTGTAATCATTGTAACTTTGATAATACTATTGCTAACGGCACCAAGAAAAATCAGCATAAAATGAAAAACTAACTCAGCGTACATAAAATTCACACAAATATGCAAATCAACGAGAACCGCCATAGGAAGTGACAATGGGAATACGTAAATCTATTTGGATCGTCATAGGAAGTGATAAGAAAAAAACGTAAATTGACGTGATCCGCCATTGGAAGTTACAATAAGAATATGTAAATCTCTGTGACCGTCTTTAGGAGTGACCATGAAAGAAAACGTAAATTTACTTGACACGATCGTTAAGTGATAAAACGCAAATGCGTAATGTATTTCTCACAAAATGTTATAGTTATTGTGTAAATGAATACCAGAGTTATTGTGTAAATGAAAAGTAAAAATTTGTCCAAGGTAAGGACGACTCTTGTTGATAAAATCAATTTGAAAGTAAATGATGCAAATCGAGAGAATATTCAACTAGATGAAGTTTATTTCTCACTTTTTTTTTGGAAAACACACATAGATATATCTCAAATGTTTGCTTTAATGAAGATGTATTTACAACTGATCACAAATTAGTTCATTATTTACATTACTACATTTCTCAGGGACCACCTTTATTCAAGTTATACATATCCTCTGTCCATCGTATTGCTCAAATATTTGAAATTTTTCATCTGAAAAGACACAAGCATTACTTATCATGAAATTAGTGCGTCGGCAGTTTAGAATGTAAATAAAGGAAGCCAATCGATAGTAACTATGTTTACTTTTTTCACAAAACTCGTGTAAGTCTCTGTCGCACTCGGCTTCTGACATTTCATGAGTATCAAGATAAGAAGCTGGCAACTCCCTGTTGAATATGTAAGTGGTTTCATTTTCACTCTCGTCTCCTGAATGGCTGCAAAAAAAAAAAAAAAAAAACGAATAAATCAACGTTGATATTTTATTGTAAATTTGTAACTATATTCATTTTATAAATTTCCATTCAAGTCTTTTATTAACAAGAAATATAATTTTAAAAAAAAGTTCAATTCCTACTTAGGTTAACAAAGAAAAATTTCATTTTAGTTACTTTTTATTAAAAAATTTAAATTTTCTCTCTCACATAAAACTAAAATTAATTAATTAAATTTAATTAATGAATTAATATTTGAAAAAAATATATTAGCTTCATGTGTCATCCACTACAAGTTTAAAACAATGTACAGGATGTTTATAAAGTCCCTGACCCATTTTGATGCTTAATAACTCATAAAATAATAAAGATAGATTAAAATTAAAAACATAAATGGCTAGATAGACTCAAAAAGTTTCATGACCCTTGTCAATGCACTTCCACGTGTGCCCCCTTCGTCGCACGGAGAATATCAAGTCGATAGTCAATTTCACGCCAGGTAGCGGCAAGCATGTCTCAGCAATCGTATATTTAGACATGTTGGAAAACTTCGTATTTCCACAACTAGAAGAGCTTCAGCCACATGTCTTTTTGCAACAAGATGGTGGACCACCTCATTGGGGTATCATCATTGGTAGTTCTTTGAATGACCATTTTCCAGGAAGATGGATTGGGCGAGGAGGTCCAATTCCTTGGCCACCCAGATCACCTGATATAACGCCGCTGGACATTTTCTTTGGGGATTTATAAAGGACAATGTTTACAGGAGGATCGTGTCGAACATTGATGACCTAAAAGTCAGAATTACAACCGCAATAGTCTCTGTGGATGCCGACATGCTTGCCGCTACCTGGCGTGAAATTGACTATCGACTTGATATTCTCCGTGCGACGAAGGGGGCACACGTGGAAGTTCATTGACAAGGGTCATGAAACTTTTTGAGTCTATCTAACCATTTATGTTATTAATTTTATCTATCTTTATTATTTTATGAGTTATTAAACATCAAAATGGGTCCGGGACTTTATAAACACCCTGTATTTGAACTTGAGTGGATGAAAAAAAAGTATTTTATTAACGATTGAAAATTTGAATAAGATATAGGGAAAGTGTGAATTAATAGTTGGAATTGAGAAATAATAAACATTTAGTAATTTCAATATAATATCGTAATGTTATTTAGAGCAGTGGTTCTTAAATGGTGTTCTGCGTAACCTTAGGGTTTGGAAATTTAGGTTATTTTTTTAACCAATTAAGGTTTTCAAAATTTGGTATTAAATTTACGTTTCCCGATTTTTGAGTTTAATTATTTAATTTATTTCGTTTTTTGTAAATCGGTGATCAAAAATACTCTTCAGTTTATTGATTTTCTGATATATCCTTATTAAAATTTATGTATCTTCTCTTTTAAATAAAATTATTAGTAATTTTAAAAAAATGAATGTCGATAATTTTAATCATATTATTAGAAACGCAAACTGATACTTTATGGTCTAAAGTTGAATCATGCATTGAGAAAAAAAGTACTGTTAAAACTACCAAAATATGATAAAAGTGTTTCTGGCTCTGTAGAAATGCCGAAAGCTCGGTAATTTTTACTGAAATTCTTTGGTAAAAATTTTGCTAAAATTAACTATAAAATATGGTTTAATAATAAATGAAAAAAAATGGTAAATATAGTCAAATTTGGTATCATTATAACTTAGAGCATGACATAAAAATAATTTATTCGGTTTAATTTACTTTTCAGTTTCGCATTTTTTGTAGTAATAAGAACTATAATTTTGAAAACTAGAATTTCCGGTAAACCGTTAACGTATGAACGGAAAAATTAATAAACGAATGGTTAAAATACTATATATTTTCGTTTTATTAACCAGAATAATTGTTCTTCTTTTCTAAAATTTTTTATCCAGTTTGATCTTTGAGAAACACAATTATTCCGTGCATATTAAATTTAGCAAATCAAACTTTTATTAATTAAAGTAAAAATTTACTGCAATTTATTTAAACGTACACATCGTTAGATCACAATAATTAAATTTTTTTTCGTTAATCTTTAATACAAAGCTTAACCGAACAATATTTGGAGAGACCTGTTTTAATGGAAAACAAAAGATGTTTTTAAAATAAATACATTGGCGTTCCTTTAATTTATTTTTCCTGTTGGAGGAACTTCTATTTAACGAAAATAAAGTTATTCATCTAAATTCTTAAGTTAACTTTGTTCTCTAATCTTTTTTATTTGAGAGAGCAACTTTTCTTTAAAGAAAAATATGAGTTTTTACTTTCTTTTTCGTAGCAAGCTAGCTTTAATCAAAAATTAATCCATGTAAGACATTGTTGTCAAAAGTTTTAAAAATAGAACACAGGTTATTTTAATTACATTTGACAGCATAAGTCCTCGCCATACAGAAATCTATTGAATGTTTGAAACCTTAATAACCATGCATCAAAATTATGAACAATACATTTTTTTTCTCTCCATAAAGCTCGGAAAATAGAGAACCAAAATTAAAAACTGTTGTTCTTATTTTTGTTTTCATCTTCATTAGAAACTTGTAAGAATTATATGTAACATTCTTCATTTCTTGTTGTGTACAGTAATTTTCTAAAATATGCATTTTAATGGTTTAAATATGCTAAATAAAACAATGATAATGATTTTTTTAAAGTTTGATTCACAGTGATCTCACACAATTATGATTTAAAAAATGCTTTATTATAAATATTACTTTAATTTCTTTTTCAGTATGATAGCTGAAATTAAATTTTTGAAAATATTTTTTTCTGGATGATTTTTTCTGGCATTCTATAGAATGCCTAGGCACTGTGAGAAATGTGTTACCGATTCATATACTGCCTTTCAGTTTTCGGTATACTATGAAATGAATGGAGTATGAATGAATACACAATTTAAATTGCGGTTAAAAGCACAGGGTACTGGTACTTCTTATCGTAAAATCCATATTTTCCGGAACATGTTACGGAACAAAACAACTGATATGGATTAATTTTTACAATTATAATAACGGCAAAATCACAGAATCACTCTAATAAAATAAATGTTACTGTAAAAATTACGCTAGAATATTTTACGGGAAAATGGATTTTACGGCTGATGCTTTATACTGTGATTTGAGCTGGAGTTTTTTACAGTGTTTAACACATTTAGTTCATGTGGGGATACCACAACAGCGCCACCACCTCTAACAGCAGAATTATTTTAGAGCTCAGACGGAGCTGTCATTTGAAAAATCTTCTCAAATTTGTTAATTTTTATAATTAAATTAATTTTTTTCACTATATGTGCTCTTAATTAAGGCTCAATATACCAGTGGCCAACCTCTCTGAACTGTTTTACCACTCAGACGGAGCATTCATTCTAATATTCTTCCCAAATTTGCTAATTTTTATTATTAAATTTATTGTTTTCACAATGTGTATGTATGTATAAATCCCCCATGACCAGCCTAATCAAAAGTCAAATGAAAAAGTGATTGAATTGTTCCCAACAGACAGCTAGTAGCATGGGAAGAGATCAATGGTTGGCAATTTATCGAAAGATAATATAGCCAAAAATAAAGCCAACACCCCATAATCAATATTAAATTTGAAAATAATTTGGCGAAAGGGAATCGCCAAAAAGACTGTGCGAATTAGTATAACCATGTAACTGAAACATTTTTGTCGCGAGAAATAAAGGATAAAGAGTTATAAATTGATTTTTGCTTTCGATTTAGTCACGACAGTGTAATCAGTCATACATTAGTAGTAAAATAAAAAAAGTTAGCAGTTACATTGATTGCTTAGAAAAGAATAAAATATTTTATATTCGCTTTTCATAAAATGTAATAAAAATTAAATGATTGGTTTAATCAAATTAAACATCGATTAAGAATGATTTAAAAAATAAGTTTTAAGAAATTAAGGAAATTTTAAGAGCTAGGAAATATGTAATGCCCATTGTGGCATCACAGCGCATGTATAAGAATTAAAAGTGAAAAAAAGTTTGACGTAGATTTTTCTCTTTAAACGTATGTAAACCGCGTTTATTTTCTAGTGCGATAAAATAATGAAATACATTTACTATATTAAATAAATAATCCCAATAAATTGAACTTGAACGATATTACCTGTTTAAAAAACTTTATTCGCGTCCAAAACATGTTAATTGGAGATGACCGTCGATTCGTTTAAAACTTTCAAAAATAGGTGTCCGTTTTCTAGACCTGCCAGATTGGAATGAGAAGAAATAAAAGTGATTTAAATATAAAACGTAAAGTTGCCAATGAAAATTTTAAAAAATAAAGGGGAGAAACAAAACTAGAAAAACCATAGTAGCCGTGAGAAAAAAAAAGATTAAAAACAGTGCAAGAAAACCCACAGTAGTCCAGAAGGGCAAATCAGGGTAAAATGCATTGCCGGCATTATGGAGAGGTGGTCAAGAGCTAATGTCATTGACAAAGGAATGAGAATTCATACGAATAAAAAAGATTCCAGAGCATCAAGATAAGATGAGAGGGGTGGAAAAATAATTTTGGCATTGTTGAAATAGAATTTATTCGACAATTATACTTATTCCAGAATTTCGACAATGATAAAATATTTTCCACCCCAGTCACACTAGCTCCTCTTGATAACTTGGAATCTTGTTTTATTCAAATGAATACTTATCCCCTTTTTTAACGACATTAGTTCCTCATCACATCTTCATAGCACGTGGAAATGTATTTTACACTTATTTGCCCCTCTCGGCCACTTCGTGTCTTTCATTTTTTTCCTCTCTGGGTACCGTGGTTTTTCTAGTTTTGTTTCTCCCCTTTATTTTTCCATTTTTCGTTGGCAACTTTACTTTTATCATTTCAAACCACTCTTGTTTCTTCTCATTCTATAACGGAGTCATATGTTTACAGTTTTTAAACTGGTTACAAAAATGAAAGAAGTGTCGAAAAATTATCTTACCCTTCTGAAGCCATATTGGACATTTTGTAACTTAAACGGTGAGAATTTCTGCTTTTGCTTGACCTTCTTTCTCTATGGGAAGGTGTGCTTGCACGCACAGCGTGCACTGGTATAACACCTGCACAAAATAATCAAGCTATTATAGATTCTTGAAAAGTTTGCACTTGGATACAAAATCTGTACATAGATAGTCTGTGAATTGACATATTAAAATGATTGAGAATATTTCTGTAATATATTTAAAATGAATTATATCTAAAATATTTCGTTGGACAGTGAACTACATTTTAATTTATTGAGAATGGAAAGTAAGAAATGTGAAATTTTTTCAGTGCCACTTACATTTAAATTGGACCTAACCAATAAAATATTGCTTCAGTTATGCACATTTCAAGAAAATGTTATTAGTAACGTAAGAAAATCGTTGATCAATTGGAATAAAAATTAAAGTTTTAATTTTCTACGTAATTTCCTTATTTTAAACCAAATTATTTATTTGTTTCGTTTTGCTTGCATCTCGTTTATTTTCAAGTCCACCAAATTATGTCGGCCGACTGGTAATATTATGGTCAGAGAGCTGACCTCATCTCTCGGAGGTCTCAGGTTCAATTCACAGTCGCGATTTTCAAATCCAGTGGCATTTGATGACTCGATCCTATGTTTACCATTTTTTTAAATAAAAAACTTGATTCTTGTTATTTTTTTAGTCCAGGTAACAAATTGAAAAGGAAAGAAAAGCTTGTATTCTAACTGGGACTGACTATAGCGAAGAGGAAAATCTCCTAAAAAGAAAGCGACTCGTCAAAGGACGTTGGATTGTAAATTAGCATCTCGGTCAGAGGCATGGATGTTCTTTCCTTCTTTTCTTACATCTTCGTCCTTCTATTTGTGGGTGCAACGTTGGAACGCATATTATGGTACCCCATGAAATATTGGTCAACATATCTTCTCGTTTGATATCCGATGTTGTTCAAGCTGTTAAACTTTTATATCTAAATTTTTCTCCAACATAGATATTGATTCCGATGTTACTGAACATAAGAACGATTGAGACCTCAAGACGTATATACTCATTCTTTTTTATTTTTTTCCCACTTCCCCAAAAACGCTCCGTCATGGCGTTAAAGTTCACATCAAATGCAAGATTAGTTTTGCGATCTCTCACTTTCAATTGGATTTGTGAATCTCAATTATTCTTGTTAATCAACAGGAATAAAAACTGCTTAGTTATTGAGAATGAATGGTTGTTTCTAACTAAGCATATCACCGTCCATTCATGGATTTGAAAAAAAAAACTGTTAACAATTTGTAGTTTCTTAGACTGTACTTAAATATCTTTGTTAAAATCGGTTTTGCAGTATAATATGACATTAATTGCTCATATAATGCTGTCATTAGGTGTTTTTGAAGGAATTATCTGATGCAATATCTATATAGTTATTTATTTTTGCTGTTTCACAAAATTGTTACAAAAATATTACCTGAATGCGGATTATTGTTTTTTATACATTTGAAACAGTTCTTTATTTGTGAAATTGGTCCTTTTTAATTGGTCATCGCGAACAAAAACCGATGAGAGAAAAACTGCAAGATGACTGGTTTAAGTATCATTTGAAAGAATCTTACGCAGAAAATATATAATTTTAGGTACGTTGGAAAAAATATGGTCAAAACTACCAGAGTATGGTAAAATTTACCATGTTTCTGATTCTATAAGAACAAAAAAGGAACACGGTAAATTTTTACCGGAGAACTTTTGCAATGATTTTGGTAAAATTAACAACAAAGTAAGCTTTCATACTTATGATAAAAATTTGGTAAATAACGTAAAAGTTGGTAATTTTATCATGATACATTAGAACATGGTATAAAAATCATTTATGAGTTTAAATTTACTTTTCATACATGTATTTTTTATTAAATTTGTAGTAATAAGAACTATAATTTTGAAAACCAGAATATCTGGTAAACCCTGACCATATGTACGCAAAAACTACCAAATGAAAGGTTTACATTTTATATGAATAATTATTATTAACCAGAATTATGTTTTGCTTTTACCAAACATCCCATTCATATACAAACAATTTTGCAAAAATTATTTTCTTTGAGTAGAAAACTTATTATGAGATCTAAACTCTTTCCCACGAAATATCGCAGAACTGAATCTCACCTGGTTAAATTATCGCAAAGAAGATCCTCACCCGTAAAAAAAATAGCATAAGACAGAATCTCTTATGATTGAAATGCTGATAAAATTTGTTCTACCGTAGTTTGCCCTAGAATCAGTTTGATGATAACTTGCAAAGCAAATAAACCCTAAAAGAATGATCTGACAATGGATCATTGGAAGTTTACTATCTTTGTCACACTATTTATTTTATTCACTATCTAATTCTTTTAAATTATAGTTTGAAGTGTTTTACTAGTATTATTATTCTCATTACCCTAGGGAACAAAATTTTTTTTCCATGAGATTTTTGTAACAGGTCTTAGTTACTCATTTCAAATCTGCAATCGATTTCTCCCCCTAATCTACAGTTTTTTTCCAAATAACATTTTTAGTCTATTTTTTGTTGAAATGTGCAAGTTTAAAAACGTTATACTTAACGTTCTTATAAATCTTTCGGCAAACTTTTTGTGCAGTTAAGGCACATCAACTGGATTAAAACTGCATGAGAACCCATGTCCGTAAACGTCACCATACTCAGCTAGAGACGCTCCTCTATTATGAACTATTTCTTCGTGTGCTTTTTAAGTAGGTCGCATAATAGAGAACCGCTCCTTGCTGTCCACGAAAACATTTCCGGGCATGGGTTTCTATGGTGATGATGTGTCCTAACTCCCCTTGAAGGTTTTTGCTTCATTTACACGACCCACTGCTTTATACACCGTTTTCAAACTTATACATTTTGACAAAAAATAGACTAAAACGTCATTAAAGGAAAGAAAATCTGCAGCTTTAGGACCAAAACTAATTTCAAATTTGAAAATCTGAATTAGGAAAGATCCAGTATTTGTATAAATACAACAGAAATGTTTGTTCCCCAGTGTTATTTTCACAATGCACTTTGGAAGTTCATTTAGATTTTCACTCAGAAGGATATAGATTAATGACAAAATATGACTTACGAGGTGTTTGATATAAATTATTGCTTGGATGGATTGCTATGTTTGTGTTTTCCATTATATGAGAATAAGTCTCTTGCTCTCGCTGTAATAAAAAGAAACAAGCTTTGAATAAATTGGTTATACTATACATACTTTATCACGTTTTAAGTTTATAGTACATACTTTAACATGCTTATGTATATGCTTTAAGTAACTTAAAATATTCTAATCATGATTTTGCCATAAATTATTTATCAAAATGGTGCTATTTAGCAGATAAATTAATATTTATTTTTGATACATATAAAATGAATGCAATTCATTATTTTTCAAACACAACCAATGCACTGTGGGCCAGAAAACTATGATCTTTGGTCAAAAGTAAAAAATTAATTTTTCAACTAAAATATGTGTAGGCAGTTTTAATATATCCCAAATTAAGTATTCATAATCATTTCAAACATTATAATTTACTTTTTAGACCGACGAAAGTACAATTTAATAAAAAATATGTAATATGTTAAGAAAATTGTTTTAAATGTAGCCTTTAAATTTTTATTTCAGAAATATATGTAGGAATTTCACCTTACTGTTACATTTTTATCAGAGTAATTAGTGTTAAATTATAGTAAAATTTTTCAATTTGTTGAATTAGTTAATACTCTTGACAAACTTATAGTTCGAAAATTAGTTCCAAAAAGTTCCACGAGGTAAATAGCTAAACGTTTTTCGTTGTTTTCTTTGATGTTTCTTCTTTCGAAAAAACTTGCCCCATTTTGCCCGTATTGCAAAGGTGGACTAAATATATCGAAAAAAAAAAATTATGTTTTTTTTTCAAGTTTTCGTGTTATTTTGTAATTAATTCGCGATCCTTTGTAATATTATTTTGGAAATATAATTTGCTTTTACTTTTTTAATATAAAATTACGAAAATTATTATTTTTTCATAGCTATATTTAATTATTTAAACGTACTTTATTATTTTTTTATTTTTGCTCGCCATATTTCAGCCGCCATTTTCTTTTGGGTATTTTTAGTGTATTTCAAAATTTTAACAATGAATTCAATTTACCTGCACATGAAAACCCGTAAATACAAATTTTATCGAAATACTAATTTTGACCACGAAATCTTGGATGCTGGCCCACAGTGCAATGTAAGATACAGAAGACAAATACTTAACAGTATAGTGTGACAAATGCTTATAGACATTAATAGTTTTAAATTTTCTAAATATTTAATGAAATAATTAGGTACTTATTAATTAGGTAATAGGGTAATACTTAGGCAGTAACACAACTCGAGAAGAAGTGATTATGCCTAATAACCATGTGATTTAAATGAGATTTAATCGAATATCGTAAGCGACATCACGCGTGCGTGTCGAATCTGATTAGATCCTGAATCTACGAATGAAACGATTTACCTACGATGACGTCACTTTAGGTATACAATTAAGACATAAAAGTCATTTTATTATGTTACAACTGGTGAGTTTTGAAAATATTAATTCTCTGTGTGAAGTTTAATTCACTTTTACATTTCCTTATTTTTATCCTATGTACTGATCTATTTGTTAAAAACTTCCTATTTCGTTATGAGTACAAAGTTTTCAAAGAAAAGTTATTTTCAAAAATAGTTGCAAGGGATTATGACTTGTCGTGAAATATTAGTAGTGTTTGATATTAGTTGGATATTTGTTGGAACACAATAAAAGATAATAAATTAAAAAGTAAGCTGAAGTTTTTTCATTTTGTTTGTGTAAGGTTTCAATTTTAATCTTTAATTAATTGAAATACTAGGGGGCTCCGCCCCCTGCTCGCTACGCTCGCCAACCCCCAGAACTGCTTCGCAGTTCCATTGCATATTGCTTCGCAATCTTATAAAAACATTTTAACAAATTTAAATTTTAAAATAAAAATGCCAGATATTGAAATCAATTACTTAATGAAATTTATACACTTCTCTGCCCCCTTCACAATTTGATTATCTTTTCTTCATGTAGCTGAGAAATTTGGAGCTGTAGCAGAGAATATATCTCAATAAGAAATGCTTTCCCGTTTAGAATTCCGCCATTCATTTCTCTGACGTCTGCCAGAGATATTTCGACGCCTGATAGCAGGCATTTTATTTAGGCAGCAGGCACTAAATAAATAAAAATAGAACTAAATAACTAAGATATCGTTTTAAATCTCAAATCAAAATAATTGTTTGTAGAAAGTTTGTTTTGGTTTGAATATTCGCACGTTTGTTTTGGTTTGAATATTCGCACGATGCCATTGCCATTCTATTGTAACGAAACAAAAAATTTATCATGAAACTAAAAATTTATCAAAGGAACTAAAGATATTGAATTCTTTTTTTAAGAAATTCAGTTCCGTTTTTTTTTATCCACTCTTATTTTTGTTTATCAATCTATTAATTCAGAAATGCTTTAAATCAAACGATGCTTACGGAAACAATGCTTATGCGAACCACCCGAAAAATGATTTGCTGAATTCTCATTGGTTGAAACTAAATTATTAATTTTATTAATTAATTAAAGGAAATTTTCATAATTTAAGACCTTATTGCACATCTACATAACAATACCTTTAAAACGACACCTTATTTGTTTAATTCTGTTGCGTAGTTTGGGAGTTTTTAGCGAGACAAAATATTGCTAGCCTATTAATATATAGATNTGCTTCAACTGCTGCATCTAAACTTCTTACACGCCACCAGTGTACCATTCGTTTCTATTTATAAGACTGATTTTATTTCGGAAAGATCAAAGAAGCCTCATTTATAGGCAGAACGAAGTAGATTCTTTAGAAGAGTTTGCTCACTTAAGGGGGCCTCTTCCCACGCCATCTTGGATTGCATTTTTTGATTTCTTTTTTTTTTCATGCTAAATAAGTTTTTCATGATAGAGAGATGTCCCAGGTAGCCTAGAAGTAAATCTGCTGAACTGTCTTTATAAATCCAAATACGCCTGCGACCTCAACGTAGTCCGGTAGAGATTAGCGTTCTAGAAGTTCAGATAGATTTTAAATCATGTATTTTGTTTTATAGCTGTCGTTGAACTGCTGACCCAATTTTTTTTGGGGGGGGGGGGTTTGCGAATATTAATGTTCAACTCCTTAGCCTTGTTATTTTGAACCCAATACGGAAGACAAGGGAACTCCTGGATCAAGTATTGGGAGAAATTTGTCTTCGTGGAGGATTTTTTAAGGAAACTAAACCGCATTTGCGTTACATGGATAGGAAAACCACGAGAACCTCCTACGGTTAGCCTGACGGCAAGGGGAGTCCAACTACTATGATCCGCCTACTACTGAGGATATTTCACGTTAACACTGTGGTCGGTGCAAGCCGGATGCGGAATTCGTATCGAGCAGCCATCGTTGGGATTCGAACCCGGTTCACCTCATTGGAAGGAGGACGCGCTCTATACCCTGAGCCATCGCCGCTCCCTTCGTTACTAGACCTAATTTTAGTTAGATATGCTAAATTTAATTAAATTTGAGACACCTCTCCCGCAAAAGAAAATTTATTTAAATATGTATCACAGCTATGCAAAAGAACTGCATACGTGCTGATGTTATACAAGCAGGTAAGTTCAATGTTCAGTAGTTAAGTTCAATAGCACAGAGTACAGATCGTAAAAGTTCAGAAGCACAGTCTACTCTTTCCCATCTTTTTGTAAAAAATAGATTATAAATTACTTTTAGAGCATTCAAAACCAGTAATCTAGTATTTGGAGTAAACATCATTGTTAAAAATGAATTAATCACTGCTTTAGTCTCTATGGTCTAATTGTATTTGGTTTAATTTTATATGGTCTAGTTAGGTGGAATTATATTCAGAGCATGCTTTACTTATGATAAATTTAATATTTTGTTTATCAGCAATAATAACTTTAATTATATTACATCTATAGAATTACTTGGCTACAATTTAACTACTAAATATGAAAACTCATTAGCAATTAATAATAGGTATTACCAAGAAATTAAGTAGCTTATCTGATGAAGAATAGTTAACTGAATTGTCATTCATTCTTGCATCAAACATTACTAAAGTTTTTGTAATTATAGTCAACTTAATTAACCATCTGAACTAACTTCAACTAAAAGTATTCCAGTTGGCACTGAATTGTGTTTAATCCTGTTCCGTTTTGAATTATTGAATCATAATAGAATGAATTTGGTACAAGCAAATCAAATTTTCCCAATATGAGCACTTAAACTGCTTGCATTCATGTAATTTATTATATTAATATTTTTTGAAGTAAACACAACTGTAATAAAAGAATAATAATTCCCTACTTGAGTAGCTAGGATCTAAAGATTATGGTTACATGGAAATACATAGAACATAGAATACTACATAGAATACATAGAACATATAAATACATAGAATACTTTATTTCTTCATTTATGTTTGAAAATTCATTTTGCCGTGCGTTACTATTGTTTTGACATGCTTTCCGATTATTTTACTATTAATTTATAAAGCAAAATCTGAATGCATTAAAGTTATCAAGCAAAATTTTCCGACGAACTGAAATAGCAAATTAATCAAGAAACTACGTAACTCGGGAGTAGTTTACTGAAATAACATTTATTCTCTAACCTTCGCATTATTAAAGCCTTCGTCATAATATTCATCTCAATTTACCGACTGAGCTAACTTCAACTAAAACTGTTCCATTAGTTGCTTAATTGCATTTAATCCAGTTCTGTTTTGAATTATGGAGAGAATTATTGAATCATAATCGAATGCGTTTGATACATATGCATGGCATCTTACCAATAGAAGCACTTAAATCACTTCCTTTCATGCTATCTATCATACTCACCCACTTCGGAGGGTAAGGAACGTCATAAATGTGTTCATGTCTGCCGAAATCTCTTCTAAGGCTTTGACTGCAATCTGATTCAGGCGAGCCCTGCTTTTGGAACATGGGAATGTGGCTCATGGCATATGGTGAAGGGTAGTAAAGCTGGTCTTTAATGGGACTTCCGCTTCCGGCACTGCCCTGCTGCTTCCGTTCCATCACGGCCATGCTCATTCCTTCTCCTGATTTGTCGTCTCGGAACCGGGAATCTGATTAAGGTAACAGGAAATTAGGCTCTTTGAGTAAAGGAGACGGTATTTAATTGCGAGAAGACTAAGATTGTCTAATCACGCTTGCTCTAATGAAATTCAAAAGTTACCCCCTTTCGTTCTTTTAGATAAAAATAGCATAGATTGGCATTCCTTTTCAGCAAAGTTAATGGTTGATGATTTCTATTAAAAGAGTAATTAATTTAGTAACAGAGTAAAACTGAACTATCATTGGTAGGTTATGAATGGAATGATGGAAAATACCATAAAAATGTTATCTTTTTCTTTGCAGCGTTTAATTTTTTTAGTACATTTTTATGGTTTGACATCAAAATCGTTCAATTTGGATAAAAAAAAATATACGCACTCAATAGTATTTTCAAAGAAGGTATCATGTTATCTTTGTGTTGGAGTATATAATGACGGAGAAAACATAAAAAGGACAAATTATAGAACAATTATTGAAATAAAAGACAGACTACTTTAAACAGTGAAGAAAAATAATTAAAAAGTCATTCTATGTAATTTTATCTATGCTGTATTTCCTCACATGTTACGTATTTACGACTATTACTCAGGACAATCTTTGAGTTTCAAGAGATGCCTAGAGAGAAGCATTGCCTCGACTTTGCATACATTGGCACCCCTTTACAAACATATCTTTTTCTCCAATACATCCTGATGTCCCAACAATCCTTATTACTATGTTTTCTTCGATGAAACTCTTTTAAAAAAAATCTCAATAAACTTCTATTGGAGAATGATATCAGGTTTCTCTCCAACATACCCTTCTGCAAAACATCCCATCACTGGCTACGGTCAGTGTGCGGGTGGGTGACCACTTGGATCAGCCTGCGTAGGGACCGAGAGTGTGCGGTATTGGTCCTCGTTAAACTGTTCTACCGTAAAGTGCTCGACTTCGCCTGCAGGTCGTCTGGCTACCGAGGCGGGGGTGCCATCCCCTCTGCAGAGGATCAAAATTGTGATGGCATGTCTTCGGATCATCCTCAGGAATGTTTCCCAGACCGTCGCCAATAGCCCATTGCAGCTCTAGTGCGACGTAAATGAACAACATCAACAGCAGTAGCAAAACATCAATCTCTTCGTTTTCTTTTGATGAAACTATTTTAAAAAAACAACACAAAAAACTTTTCTTGGAGAATGGTATTAGGTGTCTCTCCAACACACTCTGCTGCCATAACAATCCTTCTTACTACGTTTTCTTTTGATGTAACTCTTAAAATAATCTCAAAAAAGTTGGATTGGTGACAACTCTGATAATATCAGTAGCCCTGATACTTGCTCTTAAGTTTTCATTGAAACACTTTCTGAAGGGCCCGGAAGGAATTTGCGAAGTCATGTCCCATGACACTTTTTCTTCTTTTTGCATGCTTGATTTCCCTTTTATTTTCATTACATTATTTTGAAGATAACCGTACAATAATGAAGAAAAATAGAAGGGACCTATTAAAAGAATTTCAAGAGACAGAGAATCTTTCGACGAAGAAGTAGTATCATAAATGCTGTGACACTAAACTTAAAATATATTTGAGGCAATTCTCAAAATACTTGAATTTGCATATTTAGTCAGTTTACCTTAGTTTAAAGTTCTTTTTTTTAAAAATTAAATCTTACTTAACAGTTAAATATATATTTTTGAATAATATGAAACCTTACAAACAATAAATGCTTCTTATTTTTGCTAACTTGCTGTTTTAAAACTATTACTTAAGTAAAATTGATGATTCACCTATTTTGTATTTCTTTAAGAAATAAAAACAATTAAAAAAATTGAGCAATAAAAACAAAACTTGTTACTAGTCTTCTAAAAATTAATGATCGTTACTTTTATTAATAATCACTTATTATTTTAACGCATAAAACGCAAAATAAGCAATTCTTGAGATAAGTAACGAGCTTTGATAATTAGAAATATGGAAATTGGCGTTCCTATTTTTTTCTATCTAAATTTCTCATTATTCGTTTTTCCGCTTCACGTGATTTATGGCGTCTTGAAAAAATGGCGCAAAAAGGTAATCAAATGTTATTTGGGGTGATAAATTTTATGAAGACGTCAGCCAAGTTGAGAGTTCTATTATATGCAAGAATTTCGGACCATAAATTTCATAACTGCTCTTTTTCTGGTTTATGTCCCTTCCATTATTTCTAAAGAGGAGCCAAACTGAAAGAACTAAAACTTGTTATATTTTCTGAAAATTTATTTTAAAGCATCTTTAATATTTAAATGATTATCAAGAACTTAATTATGTACTAAATTATATTTACCATCAGTTTAAAGGTTTGTTTATTCAAGCGGATAATGAATTATGCTTTTAAATTATTTGGAAATAAATCTGGGGATATTTATTACCAACTGACTTATGGGTGAAAATGTATTGGTTATATTATGATACATAAGTATATTTATTTAGGCATTTTTTTAAATTAAAAATTAGAACCTGTCGGTTTTAATGCTTACTATATTATGTATTTCTGACAGATTTAGAATATATTATGCTAGGCTTGTAATTTGTTTTTAGTTTAGAAAAGTTGCATATAGTGATCTTAGAACAAAAATTTTTGTGTCAAAAATATTATAAATATTTTATTCCGATATTTTTAATATGATGTCATTGCGATGCGTGAATTTGAAATTTGAGTAATTATTTCTTGATGCACTCAATTCGCGATGAATCCGTTAATTTTTCGATCGTTTTTTGGGAGTTGTTAACACTAGATTGCCTAAGGAAGTCATTTTGACTGCTTTTAATTTCAATTAGAAAAACAATGATGTATACAATGACACAATTTCTTAGAAATTTGTGACTTTTTGAACAAAATAAAAAATTCTTCATTGTTAATATTTACAAATAAATTGTTACATAACTGTAAATAATGTAAAAAATTTTAAAAATTAATTTTAAACGAATTTATTGACGCATTCACAATCTAGTCATTTTGACCGCTTTTCGGCAATATAGGTATATACTAATTTTTCGTCTTTCTAGTGTTAATAAATTTTTTTTACCGTTTCAGCATAGTATTTAATATGATATGATATTTCAACATCAGAATTTCCGATTTGAATAATCATTTTTTGATGTGCTTTATTCAAGACAATTCCATCTTTAATCCACATAAATTTCCCACCATTTTCTCGTCAGTTATTTTTTCGTTTTTACGGTATTTTTACGTGGTTTTTCAAATTGCGATATTTTTAATATGATGTAATTACGACACTCGAATTGCAAATCAGACAAATAATTTCTTGACGCTCTCAATTCACGACTATGCAGTCGTAAAACGACATCATTTTCGAATCGGTTTTCTCGCCAATTGTCACAATAGTTGTCTTACTTTCAGCTTAGCGATTTCCACATCTTTTTTAAAATCCGGTATTTTAAATACGATATTATAACTACCGACGTATTCAGTTATGAGAACTTAAACCTTCATATTTTGAGTACTTTTACTTTACATTTGAGCACTTAAACTTTTATAGAGTATAAATATTTAATATTTACCATTCAGTGATCCCTTTATTGCAATACGTCGCACAATAACGATTATGTTGAGTTTTTTGCATCGCAAAATACATTGTCAATAAAAATACAAGAAATGTTAGTATGAACCCTGATTTTTCTAGTAGTATTTTTTACCACTAACAAACCTTACCACTAACTTATATTTGTATATTTGAAAATAAAAACCAAGCAAAAGAAATATTCAGAAGCAAATTTATTTTTTAATTCTACATATGTATTGTTTTCAGTTTGATTAAAAACTTATTTTTTTATTTTATTTCCAATGAGATGTACAAGTGAGCACACACACAAGAGCAGATCTAGTGCGTTCATCAGAAGTGGTATCCACTCTTTCAGGACCACCACAAAGGGTGAGATACCGTTGGTCATGTTAATTTGAACGTCTAGCTTCTGCCACACTAGATGGAAGCACCGAGACTCTTATTTGTATGCTAAAGTGCATTAGGAATTTAATTTTGCCGGAAATGCCAAGAGCCAATAAGGCACTCCAGAGATCTTTTACTTAAACGCTTATAATACTTTACAATTAGATTCAGAATACCTTTTTCATAGTAACTTGCCGCCTGTTCCGATAACTAAGAGGTCACGACAGTTTTTACGTCTTCGTCATCGTTGTACTGGTTGGTGACAAAATAATTTTTGAAACATCCAAAAAAAGAAAAATCACTTAGCTCAAGGTCTGGGCTGTATTGAGGGATGGTCCAAAACTACCCAGCCAAAAGAATCCAATAAAGCTCAGTACTGATCCCTGGAGAGAGTCATTGACATAGAATAGCAACAATATTCTGTCTGCATGCAAGTGGGAAGCTTCGATAATTTCACAACTCTGCCGTTAATGTATGCTGCAGGCAGGTTCTTTCCCGACTGAAAACACATCACTGACCTTACCTCATACACGGAGAGAGATTTTTTAAACTTGAACATTTTAAAGACACAGAACTGATGGTACAGTTTACCTACACAGCTGTACGCACGCGTCATTTAGTAGTGTACGTAACAAAACGGATTTTATTTAATAAACAGCTCTCGTCTCCCTCTTTCTCTCTCATTATATATATATATATATACTAATAAATTAGTAGGAAGGGATATCTGTGGAAANATGGGCATGCCATACCATAGTTCATTTGTGTTATATTTATATATATATATATATATGTATCCAAAGACGATAGGAGAATAACATGGAAAAACCAAAAGGCCGATAAAAATTTTTATAAATTTTTTTATACGGTTCTCGACTATTTTACCTAAACGGACTTGTAACTATTTTTGCAGATACATACCTCGGCGATTTGGATTATCAACTTGTCTTCTTCTTCTTACAACGACACAAGCTACGATTAAAATGACCACTAGGACAACAGCTGCGCACACAGTTGGAACTAAAATACTGAGACTTCTATATATCATCGGTCTGCGTTCATCGATGCTTAGCGGTGGAGGGACTGTAGCTAAAATTAAAACGTTTTCTTCAGTTCCAATGATATTGTTAGAAAAAGGGACATTTCATTATTTTTGAAATTCATTACCTGTTTACATTATAAAAAGGTCTCAGTTAGTATTATTGCGTTTTTGATCTTTATTTAAGTTATAACTTAATGTGCAGATCTCTTATTACAATATAAAGTAATCACATGATATTACTTTATATTGCAACATTTTATGATCAGGATAATTACTTTTGTTTTGAAACTGCACTCAGAAAAAAGTATAGAAAAAACTACCAAGATATGGTAAAACTAAACGTGTTTTCTGGCTCTACGGGAACACCAAAAATGTGTTAATTTTTGCTGTAGTGCTTTAGTGGAATCTTTTGGTAAAATTAACAATAAATATGGTTTTATTACCATGCTATGTGGTAAAAAAATGAGGTAAGATTTAGTAATTTCCCCCCAAAAGTATTGGACTTGGGATTTCATTGGTTGCTTGTCTATGTAAGCTATAAAGAGCCGATGCTCAGGTGATAGGGCACTGGCATTCAAATGAAGGGACCCAAGTTCGAATCCCAGCAATGGTTGGTAGCAAACGGCTTGCGTCGTCTACAATGCTGACGTAAAATATCTTCAGTGGTAGACTGATCATGGGTTAGAGTCACCTTGCCATCAGAATAACCAGGTGAGGTTTTCGGGTTTTTTCTTTCCCTGTAATGCGAATAAGGTTAATTCCATCTAAAAGTCCTCCAAGAAGGCAAATTTCCCCCAATACTTGATCCAAGAGTTCCCTTGTCTTCTGGATTAGGTTCAAATTAAAATAAGGCTACTGAGTTTAACATTTGTAGTTCTAAACTGACAAATTGGGTCTGCTGCTCAACGATGGCTATAAAATCTAAAATATGTAAGCTAGAAGCTAATATCTACCAACCTTTTAAACTATAACACTGTGTATTTGCAAATTTGTAAACAGATAAAAGCCTGGACAAAGCTAAATTAAATCAGCAGTTTAACTGTTACGCGTCAGGGCTCTTCTAACATCCAAGAGTGTAAGGATAGAGATAGCGGGTTTGAATTCCACCACAACCTGTAAACATCTATCATACTTATTTATTTATTATATATATTCAGTCTTGTGTGCTCAAAGTTGAGCTTATAAGTCCTTATCAAGTCAAGGTACAGATAGTGCGATATAGAGGAAGAATTAATTACCATTTATCTAGTGATGCAGGAGATTTGAACCTTATATATAAATACTTTGAATGCTAATTTTGAATTTTTTTTAGTCACTCTCTTCAGAAAGGCCAAGCAGATTTGCCATTTCGCCAAAGCCTATGTAAAAAGAAGTTAGCAGGTTCGAATTCCAGCACTACTCTGGATGCGTAACAATAAATGAATAAATTTGATATATATATATAGGCTTGTGCGCTTAGTCCAAAGAATCGATTGTCTCTTATCAATTGATAGAACAAAAATGACAAGATTAAAAATGAGTTCAAACGCATTAAAAAAAAAAAAAAAAAAAAAAAAAAAAAAAAAAAAAAAAACAGGAAAGCACCTCTAGCTGCGTATGATTATATTTAAATAATTCTGTTCTGCCAAAAGTTTTTGGCAATACTTGCGCGACCGGATGTTAGATATAATGTTTTAAAACTTGTATATTTTGTAAAAAAAATAGAGTAAAAATGCTATTAAAAAATAGCATAAAAATAAAATTAGGAGCTACTTCAGATCCTCTAGCCTTTAACTTTCTTTTTCGACGATTTCTTATTATGGTGATTGCAAATCTAATATTTTAATTTGATATATTAGGCTGCACTGTAATCATTACTTAAAATGCAAATCTTTAAACATATCAATAGTCAACTAAATTAGACACTGAAAAGCTTTGATGGTTAAGTTTTTATAATCTGTGCAACAGATATCTTATTTAAGTTATTTTAACTTCATAAATTCATGAATTTTAATTTTTTCTGTGTTTACTTAAATATATATAGACCATAATATATTGCAATATCGCATAAATAATAATCAGATCTACTTCTATTTTGTAATTATGAAATATTTGCCTCCTTCCCTTAAAATGTAAAATATTTAATACATTTGTTTTAATAATGAACAGGAACTGTTTATTGGTAAAAAAATTCGTGAAACTGTATACCTATAATTTATTATTTTATATTGTTCTCATTTAGATAGATTGAAAATTACTTAACTAAAACTTATNGTAATTTGTTTGTCAAAACTTTATCATCTTGTGCACCAAAAAATTTCTTAAAATGGAGCTACCACGTTAACAGATCAGACCCATTATGTACTAAGAGTTCCAAAATAAACTAAGTGTAACTGAATGACACAAGAAAAAGTGTGAAAGTTTAGGTTTCAATACTGTTTCTTATGAGGATACAGTAAAAGTTTGGTTTCGAAAGTTTAATACTGGGAATTTCAACATTGAGGATGAACCACGTTCTGGCCGCCCTATTGAAATTGATTGTGACCAGTTAAAGCAAATTATTGTTCAAGACAGAAAGTTTCAACACGAACTATTGCGTTAGAGCTTGACATTTGCCAAAAAACAATAGCAAATACTCTCAAATGCATAAATCTAACAGTTAAGTTTAACCGTTGAGTGACTCGCGAATTGAGTGCTGAAGACAAGAGCAAGAGAAAAGCGGCCTGTTTGGTTCTGCTCAGAGATCAAAGAAAAGAGGACGTTCTGGACAGGATTGTGACCTGTGATGAAAAATGGGTATACTACAACAATACTAGCCGTAGAGGAGGGTGGTCAGCATCCGGGGAATCCGCAAGTTCGGTTGCAAGATGAACGCTAACTAACAGGAAGGTCCTTCTCCGTATCTGGTGGGATTGTCGTGGAATTATCTACAAGGAGTACCTTAAAAGCGGGTAGGCTATCAACAGTACAATATACAGCAATATGCTAATCAAAGTTAGCGATGCGATTCGCGAAAAACGAGAAAACAAGCTCAGAAGGAAGGTGATTCTCTTTCATTAAGATAACGCTTGGCCACATGTTAGTGCAATGACCGGCATGACGCTCCACACGTTAGAGTGGGATTTGATGCAACATCCACCATACAGAACAGCCATGGCGCCTTCGGATTACTATCTGTTTTCAAATCTGCAGCTGCATCTTGATGGCACAATCTTCCGTTCAAATGACGAGGTCATAAATGAGGTCGATTGCTTTCTCTACTCGCGCACCCCCCAGTTCTTCGCAGAAGGGAATGAAAAGTTGCCAAAACGTTGGCAGACTATTGTTGATTTGAATGGAGATAACTATTCTCATTAGCTTTGCTGATTTTGTATGTGTTTGTCATTTTTCAGGATTTTTTTTTTCGGCGGAAAACTTTTTACTCAACCCGATATTTAATATATTTGTTTTAATAATGAGCAGGAACTGCTTATTGGTAAAAAAATTCGTGAAACTGTATACCTATAATTTATTATTTTATATTGTTCTCATTTAGATAGATTGAAAATTACTTAACTAAAACTTATAATAAATATGCACATTGATAATTAAATTTCTTTCCATGCATTTAAAATAGTGCTAGTTACTTTGAAGCATTATACTTTCAAAGTGTTCTTTCATAAATGGAATATATATATATTCGAAGGAAGAAAATTATCTATGCTCTCTACCACAATGAATTTTAATTAAAAAAAATCTTTTATGTATCGCCTCTTTAAATAAAAATAGAAAAATGTATGTAGACATAAAAATTAAACTAAAACAACCAAGCTAAAAAAAGTTTTCATATAAAAATCTCTTATCAAAGTGCATCCTATCAATATTTCTTACTTATTTTGTAAATGGAAAAGAGTATTTCGGAAAAAAAGGCATAATAACATTTTTTTGAAAAAAAGTGTAATGCATTGAATTTTATGAATAGTTTTAGTAAAATGCTTTTTAAATATTTATACCGTAAAAGAGATCTACTATATTTTAAAAGTGGTAATAGATGTTATTTTTTTCCTTTAAGGAATGAAATATTTGCATTTATTGGTTTATTTACCTTTTTTTTTATAAAAATACAATTAGATAAATGATAATTTGCATGGGATATGGAAAAATGATAAAATTAATTTTTCTCTTAAAGCGAAATTAATATTTTAGAGCACAATTTTTTATTTGCATAAAAATTAGCTCTTATTTAGTGTTTTCTGGGAGTTTGAACAATTTTAACATGATTGAATAAAAATATATTAATTCAGAAACGTTTCATGCTAACTGCAAAAGTATACTGAACATATAAAAAAAGGTGAGTGTTCTTATCTTACTGAATAAAAAAAATAAAAAACTTATTATGTTGTATTCAGAATTTAGTATCTGTTGTTGTTGTTTTTAATGCTAATTGCCAAGTCTGCTTGGTGAAACTAAGTGAATTTTAGGCTGATGGTGCATTTCTTGTTTTTCAGTGGCGCCATCTATGGCTAAGAATAAGACTTTTGCCACACACATGTATCACAGCCCGTTTATAGGGTGGATCCCTTCATACATCCATTTATTCATCCACAAAAAAAATCAAAAACTTATTATGTTGCATTCAGAATTTAGTATCTGTTGTTGTTTTTTTAAATACCAATTGCCAAATACCAGCAAGTCTGCTTGGTGAAACTAAGTGAATTTTAGGCTGAGGGTGCAGTTCTTGCTTTTCAGTGGCGCCATTTACGGCCAAGAATAGGACTTTAGCCACACACATATATCACAGCCCGTTTATAGGGTGGATCCCTTCATACATCCATTTATTCGTCCACAAATCGTAATTTAATTCGAACCAGAGAACGTCCAATCTCCAATTCAATGCCTCCACTTAAATAGTCTCTCTTTATTGATTCGTTATGGGAGCATGTAGGACTTTATGAACCGACAGATTTAACGTGCACTGGTCCCCATTTACAAAGTGGAGAGTTTTCGGCCAGCGGGAATCGAACTCAGGACCACTTGGACATGGGCCCAACGCCTTACCAACCAAGCTTTACTGGCCCCATCTTAGTATCTTGAATTCATAAAGAAAAGGTAAAAGAGAAAAGTTTAAAACTTTATAATTAAATGAATATTAAGAAATTTCAGTGAAAAGTAAAGCATTGATCATTAATTTACTTGGCTTATTATTTTCCTTAAAAAAATCCTAGTGTCCGTAAATGCAGTAAACTTTAGCAAACTTAGTAGACGGGATATTAATTTATACGGTCAGTTCTCTTCTTTGGTACAGTAAAAATCCAATGCCCAAGATTGTAATGAACTTTAGCAAAAGTAGTTTATGGTTGAGCGTTAATTTGTACGGCTCCTGCCTTCTCTGAGAAAGAAAGCCAGGAGAAATGAAGATTCCTAAAACACCCTTGTCGGGGAGTACACAGTTTACAATGGTGATTACAGCATGTGGCTACAGTCTTTAACGTCTCATGTTCAATTCCAACAAACCAAAAGAACACCTTTTAAATAAATCTCACTGCATGCGATACGCGTACTTGATTGTTTGGCAATGCAATTTGTTCATGCGTGAGCAAGGCAATCACATACAGCGTAAATACTCCTTGTCTCTCCCTCAATCCACATTAGTGACCACAGACAATAAACGCGCAAATCTCTCGTTACTCGATAGATGGCAGCACTACTCCATTTCGCCTCGTTCTACAATTTGCCTTGAATAACAAAACAAATTGCTTAAGTCTTAGACAACGTCTTGAAAAGAATACAACTTTTACCAGTATTGTGTTATTTAATAGTTAGAGGCCTTGTATTAAAAAAAAATACAGGTAGACCTGTTTTTATATGGTCATAAACATAATTTTATTATTGCGGTCAGTGCCTGGAACACTTTTTTCCTGAGACAGATTGTAAGAAAATCGAGAAATTTTTAAAGTGTGTAATTGTGAAATAACCTAATTACAATATTACATATTAGATTAATCGATTTTCCCTTTTGGTGATATAGTAAAAATGATGAATGGATTATAAGCAAATTAATAAACTTAAAATAAAAAAGGCCAAGTGACTTATTTTAAAACTTCATAAAAATATGTGTTAAATTATAAATGTTATCGGTAAAAAAAAACCCATTTTAGGCAATTTTCTTTAAAACTAAGATTTATAGGACATGTCATATTTATTTCGTGTCATGTGACATTGATGTAATAAAGACAACAATTAATAGGATAAAAGACAGTAAATATAAACAATAAACATTTTATAAATATTATGTTACAGAACCTATTTTTCAAATATTATTTTGACTTATAACTTTTTATAACTTCTTTTTATTTCATTAAATCTAATTTTTATTTTCTCGAAAATGTTGATGCAAAAAAGAAATTAAACTTGAACTTTAAGATTTGTCTTAGTGATACTGGGATAGAATTAATTTTCTACTTTCTAATAAAAATAGAAAATGAAAACAATAAATAATTAATAAATACGTTATAATGAATTTTACTTTTTCGTTTAATAGAATCAAATATGTTTCACGTTCGGTTCACATATAAAAATTGGAGCAGACATTAATGTCGTACGCATTCATGTACACAATGATATAATATTGGCAATAATTGATAATAAGCAGTAAAATTTAAATAAAAAGCAATATGCATTGTATGAAACCATTTTTATGTTCCAAAGAGTCAAATTATGTTTATATTTCCATGCGAAAATACACAGTTAATTGAAAAAAAAAATAAATGGGCAAAACTGATATTTATGTCACAAGCAATGTGGATAATAGTTATGCATTGTTATTGTAAAAAATGTCGTAAATAGATTAATAAATAAAAATTAAACATAATAATCATAATTTGATAACTATGGCTTAATGAAATCAATTTTTATACTTAATAGAATCAAACTTTCTATTTTTGTTTCTAAGCTCTTAGTAAGCAGTGAAAACTAAAACTGACATTTACGTCGTATGTATTTATGTAAAAAATGAGAAAAAAAGACAATAAATTGGAAACAATAAGCATTTTATAAGTATGGTATAATGAAAATTTTCTTTACACTGTAAAAAAGTCACTTAACTCCCCTGAAGTTCAGCCCTGTAAAAAATTTTGGATCAATTTACAGTATAAAGTACCGGCACTTGGGTGCATCATCAATAAGATTCATTTCAGTGTGAAATCCATTTCAAGCGTAAAATATTTTACCGTAATTTTTACAGAAATATTTATTTAATAAAATAATTCAGTGGTTTTACCGTAATTATTAATGTAAAAATTACGGTACATCAAAAATTTTGTTCCGCAACATGTTCCGGTAAAAATGGATATAATGGTAAAAAGTACCGGTACGTACGGTAAAAAGTACCTGTGTGTCGGTACTTTTTTTTAAATCGTAATTTGATCCGTAATATTTCAACAATCATACAATCAAATTATATATTTTCGTTCAAAAACGCTTAGTTTATGGATAAAAATGGTATCAACATTTATGTGGTCTGCATTTATGTTTATTTGTCTCTCGATACGATAAAGATAAAAATAAATAATAAATAAAAAATATTAAAAAATAAAAATTTTCTTCAAAAAAAGCGAAAAAAACGCCTAGTTAATAGGAAATAAAAGAAAAAACTACTGAAAATATTTAAATCTATTTTTCTTCTAATAACTCTATCATGAACCTGCCGTAATAAAGAAGAAAAATGCATGTTTTGCATTATGCTGAGCTAATTTTGCTTTTACCTATATTTGACTTTCGCATCATTGAAAAGAAGACAAAATTAGATGAGCTTAAATTGCATAGTTTCACGACATTAATATTCAAACTCAATTTCTCTAAAAACAGAGGGAATTACTTAATTTAAAGGTATTTCAGAAACTCGGAGTAAGCATATAAATTACCAGACTCTATTCAATTTTACTTTCACGCATGAATTCATTTTCATGCATATCAGTCTTTTAGTCTTTCACTTATTGACTGGTGAATCAATCATTCATACTTCATTCATATTCTGTTCATGGAAGACAGTTTTACAATGGAAGAGAAAATATTTCACTTAAATCGAGCACAAAAGATTTGCCTTTTGTGACTTTGCTTTTAACAGATTAAACGAAATTGAGTTTTAGGGAGGTTATTCTAATGGGAAATATTGATAAAATGCTATTGAATCTGAAATTTAGACTTCAAATATTTTAATTCGTTAAAAGAATTTTTGAAATATTATGTATGGTAATTGTGTTATTTAAAACAATAAAAGTCGTGCAGACATATAACAAAAACTAGTTTCAGATAGAGATATAAATATTTATCTAATATTATAGCAATTTTATGTACATAATAGCAATTTTAATGAACTTTTAATTAATAAAGTGTCTTTGTACACTGAGAAATTTTTTTATGGTCATAACTATCAGAATATGGTATAATTCCCCATGTTTTTGGCTCTATTGGAATACTGAAAAGTTCGGAAATGTTTACCGATGCTGTTTGACAAGGACTTTGGTAAAATTAACAGCAAAATTTTAAATATATGCGATAAAATTTGGTAAATGTGGAAACACTTGGTAATTTTATCATGATACCTGAGAGCATATTATCAAAACTATTTTTTCGGTTTAATTAACTTTCTAGTTTTGTATTTTTTACTAAATATGTGGTAACATGTATAAGTAATAAGAATGTGATCTAAAAATATCTGGTTCAAATATCGTATATTTTGATTTTATTTACCAGAATTATGGTTTAATTATGGTTCCAATTATGGGTGTGACAAAAGTCAAATTCTTGATCATGGATGGAATGGATGCCACTGGAAAACAAGAACAATCTCCCCCCCTCTGCCTTAATGGCAGACGATAACAACTACAACATGTTTTTTAACCATAAATGTCATTACCATTCAGCTAGGTAATTTTACCAGAATTTTCTTCTCCATTTGATTACCACAGAATTTGGTATTTTTCTAATTGGCGTGAATTTGAATCCCGCCGGCGAAATTAATGTTAATTTCCATTTCCTTTTGAATAAATCAGTATGGGATGTAGCTAAAGTGGGTTTCATAGATTAACTATATGATTCAGGTTTACTAGTGCACTCATGTTACCAAGGATAAAAAAATATGCCTCTTTTTTTAAAAAAAATATATACCTTGAAGTTTTATATTGAATATTAAGCTTAACTTAGTAATAATTTATTCATTTAAAATTTAATTATTAAAAGCCAGTCTAGCTGAAAACCAGTACATCAGTAAACGTTTTCTTTGAAATTTAACTAACTTCAAAATAGTATAATATGGACACTTTACTTACCACCATATGCTGTTAATGTAGCAAACACATATTCTGCTTCCGTTGGCCCTGCTTCACTATGTGCGGTCATCAAAATTGTATACCAGGTGGCTGGTGTTAGATCCGTTATGGTTGATGTTTTCTGTTCTGGAACAATATTATTAGAGACCAATATCCATTCTCTTTGTGTATTGGCTTTGTATTGTACTATAAAAAAGTTCACTGGACAAGCTCCTCCAAGCCATGTATTTAGATGGAGTGTTACAGCTGTTGAATTGATGCTGAGCAGAGCATCCCTTTTTGGCGGATTTGGAGCTGAAAGTTAAATATGTGTATGTCAGTTCTTATTTTATTACGTTAACGATTAATTTAATTTAACGTTTAATTAAAATATATATTTTAAAAACTAATTTAATTTTATTTCATAACCAGTGTTGAAAAGCTGACCTAATTATGAGCTTACTACTATCAATGTTCAACTTCATGGCCCTGCTATTTTGAACCCAATACAAAAGACAAGATAACTCTTGGAACAAGCATTGGGACAAATTAGCCTTCTTGGAAAACTTTTTGATGGAACTAACCTGTATTTGCGTTACGGAAAACCACGAAAACTTCCCATGGGTAGCCCGAAAGAAAGGGGACTCTAACCCATAATCCGTCTATCACTGAGAATATTTTACGTTAGCACTGCAGTTGATGCGAGCCAGGATCAGAATTCATATCAACCAGTCATTTCTGGGATTTGAACCTGGTTTACATCATTGAGAGGCCAACGCATACTACGCCTCAGCGGCTCTATTAAAATTAATTGTCAAGCTTTATATTTTGATATTGGTGTTGAACAGCTGATATTAATCAGATCTGTTTTTTATCAGATCTGTTAACTAGTATTCAGCGCCATAGCTTCATATTTTTTAAACTCAATCTAGTAGGCAAGTGAACTCCTGGATCTTAAATTGGAATAAAATCCTTTTCTTTGAGGAATTATTGTGTGAAACTGGCAAAATTCATCTTTCCTAATTGAGTGCATTTCTTAACCGAAATTAAAAATTCATATTTTTACAATCTTTATCAGAAATTAAATAAAAATATATACATTTTAGGATTGAAAAAGTATTTTAGAATGTTTTACAACAAAATAGTGTAGTATAATACGTTTTAGAACAAAAATATTATGGAATATGTTGCGAAACAAAAATATTATAGTAAATATCGTGATTATTAAAAAATATGGAAAATGGCTTTAATTTGCCAAAAAGTTCATAATAAAATTAATTTAAACGTCCCTACTTTTAGTACGGGACCTTACAATCGGGACCATTAATATTCAGGTAAAAAATGCTGCCATTTTGTGGCACATTATTGCTGATGAAGCCAAAGTTAACAACACCAAGACTTCTTTGACTACGGGTGGAAATTAAGAGAAAGTAAATGTTTCAAGTTTCATTTCTGTAATTATATAAATTTTGATGCTATTAGTTCTGCCTTTCTCAGTACAGTAAATAATAGCCATTGTATAACTTCTAAATATTTCCCGCAAAAAATAGACTTATAGTTAATATTTACCACAATAGGAAACACATAAAATTATGACATGACAAGTTAAGACTATTTTAGGAGGTTGAGCTTACAGATTTGACGACAATTTTTCCTTACCTGTGCCAGAAGTTTTACCCGCTATCACTTCACTAGGTTTGCCTTTTCCAACGGCATTGTAAGCCACAATGTAAAATTGATAGTGGGAACCGCAATACAAATCCTGAAAAGTGTAACTTGTTTGATGGCCAGGAACTTGCCTCTCCTCCCAAGTTTCATACTCTTTCTTGAAAAATATATAATACCCTAAATAAAGCAAAGTGAAATTTATATCTTTGCAGGGCAAGCAAAATTTATCATGACAATCATGAGTATTAAAGCTTTTGTTTTAAGAGTCCACTGCAAAAAATTCCGGATCAAAATACGGTATAGAGTACCGGCATTTAGGCTGCATCATCCGTAAATATCCATTTTTTAATCGTAAAATACTGTACCGTAATTTTTATAGTAATATTTATTTAATTAGAGTGATTCAGCGCTGAACGGACTGTGTAGTGATCAGGAAGCTGACCTCCCATCAGAAAGGTCCTGAGTTCGAATCCCGGACAAGGCAAGGATGTTCCTTTATTTTCTGTACTATTTGTCCTTACTGTGGGAACAACGTTGGCCCACCTAATATGGTGCCTCTGAAAGAGTGGCCCGCAAATCTGCTGTATACTGATACCTGAATGACGAGTGTCAATCAGATAGGATTAGAAAGAAAAGATGCTGACCAGGTGGCCGAGTGGTTAGCGTGCCTAACTGCGGAGCCGATGGGCGCGGGTGCTAATCCTGCTCAGGGCTTAGATGTTTCTTTCTCTCTGTGTTCTATGTCCTTTCTCCCTTGTGTGTGAATGTGACCCACCCTATAAACGGGTTTGTGGTTGTGTGACGTGGGCGACGCTGCTCCACCGCCGTGGCCTCGCCACAGGTGCCCACTGGGTAACGAGAAGAGAGTAGCAGTTCTGGCATTTNCTTTTCTGTACTATTTGTCCTTACTGTGGGAACAACGTTGGCCCACCTAATATGGTGCCTCTGAAAGAGTGGCCCGCAAATCTGCTGTATACTGATACCTGAATGACGAATGTCAATCAGATAGGATTTGAAAGAAAAGATGCTGACCAGGTGGCCGAGTGGTTAGCGTGCCTGACTGCGGAGCCGATGGGCGCGGGTTCTAATCCTGCTCAGGGCTTAGATGTTTCTTTCTCTCCGTGTTCTATGTCCTTTCTCCTTTGTGTGTGAATGTGACCCACCCTCTAAACAGGTTTGTGGTTGTGTGACGTGGGCGACGCTGCTCCACCGCCGTGGCCTCGCCACAGGTGCCCACTAGGTAACGAGAAGAGAGTAGCAGTTCTGACATTTTCTGAGGCCAATGGGTCTTCGTCCCAAGTGCCCGCCATTAAAAAAAAGAAAAGATTGATTCAGTGATTTAACAGTAACTATTACTGGGGTAATCACAGTATAGTAGATGTTTGGTTCCGTAACATTTTCCGGTAAAAATTAATTTTACGGTCGAAAGCACCGCAACCCTGATAACCGGTATTTTTTACCGTAAATTGATCCGGAATTTGCTATTAGTTCGAAAATTTAGGGATTTGTTTTGTTATATGAAAAAAATAATTCTATTTGTTCCTTGTGAAATAAGGAAAATTATATTTAAAGATGAGTAAAAACGTGTGTCACGATTTAGCTTTATTCTTTTCCTCCAATTGATTTTCAAGTGATATTGAAAGCTTTAAATGCAATTTTATTTCGGCCAATTGTTTTCAACTTCTTAAAGTTATAATCCAAAACTCAAACTAATTTGGAATATGCATACTTTGGATATTTTACTTTCTGTAAGAAATATAAAATTTTGTATTTAATTTTAATATACAAAGTTTGTAATAAATAATACTAAAATAAATATGTGACTTGAAATTCGGGAACTATTTTTAAATGCTACAAGGAAAAGCTTATAATTACAAATTAATGTACGAATAATTTTATTGGAATAAAATCAAGCATTGTTAGACTTAGCAGAATACTTCTTAAGTTGAATTAAATTATGTCAAAAGTCAAAGACACAAATTTTTTAAACTTTTATAAATTTTAAAATTTTTTTAAATGTTTGTGAAAAGGAATTGTAAGAAAGGTTTGTATCTTTAATAGACAGTAAAACTGCTTAAAATTCACAAGAATATAAAATTATTAAAAGTGTTTCTCAAACCGTAGCCACCGAGAAATAAGACAGTTGAGATCACCGAGGTCTATTAGTGAAAGAAAACTTTTCTTACAATTCATTTTCTGTTATGAAATGCAAATAATATTTATTCATAAAAACATCAAGTAGTCCTGCATGCTCATTTTATTGAGTTATAATGTGATAAATAGTATTTATTTATTCTAATAAAATATTAACTTTCGACACTTAAAAGTATTTAAGTGACTACAGGAAAAGAAAATTTATTTCACTTCACTCAAAAAAGATATTTACTATTTATTATAGTTTTATCTTCATATAAATCTGAGCTACCACGTTCCCTAGCACTTACGTGGGTGACGTCACAAACTTATTGAGAGGCCTTCAATTTCGGAGTTTATACTCAAATTCCGTTTAAATCAATCATTAAACTTTCAATATCTTACCAGTTATAGGACTATTTTCGTTCTCTATGGAAGACCATTTAAGTTGAACTGTTGAAGTGGTGGCTGATGTTATTGTTAACTGTTATTTATTACAGTTTTCTCTTCATATAAATCTGAGCTATTTTGTTCCTTAGAACTTATGTGGGTGACGTCACAAACTTACTGAGAGGCCTTAAATCTCGGAGTTAATACTCAAATTCCGTTTAAATCAATCATAAAACTTTCAATATCTTACCAGTTATAGGACTATTTTCGTTCTCTATGGAAGACCATTTAAGTTGAACTGTTGAAGTGGTAGCTGATGTTATTGTTAAGTTTGGTGATACAGGTGGATCTGAAATATAGAATTAAATTTCTATTTCAAAAATTTTTTTTCTTAAATACAACTAAGCATTGTACTGAACGAAAAATATCAATTGTATATAATGATAACGCGAAAAATAGTTATTATATTCAGTAGCCCAACTTTGCTGAGTTTCTGTACGTATTATTTATTTTATTATGTATTATTTATTCTGTACGTATTATTACTATTACTAATTAGTATGAGACAATTTTTATAAAAGAACCTCATTATTTTTTTAAACATCAAACTTTTTTCAAAGACTAGAACTGTTTTAAAAATAAAAGCAAGTAATTGAATTTGAAATTCTTCTTATAATAAAATAAATTATTAAAAAAACAATTTAAAATATAGGTTGAGTTCTCTTACATTTATTTAAAATATTTCTTAATGTAAAATTATAAATATCTTCTTTTTTGGAATAATTGTAATACTATTGAATCGATAATTTTATTTATTTATTTTATTTCAGTTTAGAGTAAATTCAAGTATTCTAGTTTAATAAGTCATTCGAGAAGCAATTGAAATTCGTTGATTACTTCTATTTATGAAAAAAAGTAAGAAAACTAAAATAAATTATCTTAAAAAGGCAGTAATTGCCTATGGGTGTAATAGTTATCGTTGTAATAAAATATTTTGAAATTATAATTTCTTTCTATTCTTATGAATTTCTATTTTTTCTGATAACAAAATAATTTGCTAGATTAATTATTCTGCTTAACTTTTGCTGAGATTAAAATCTTTAAACTAATTTAGGACACAAAATTCTTATAATAGGAGCAATCGAACTAATTCAGTATAACTTAAAATAGTTTAAAATTAAATTTAAATTTAGTAAGAAAATATACTCTATTATAGTAAGTTAATTTTGATTGAAAGGGTAAGCATTAAATCATAAATAGACAAAAAGATTTTAACTTAATGTTTTGAACTTTTATACTGAATAATAATTAAACCGTAAATAATTTTCATTCGATATAAGCTAAACAAAATGATGAAAATAATAGAAATTTAATACGGAACTTGAGTTATTGAAAAAGGAAAAAAATATAGAATAAAAATATAGCATATTTGATCTTAAAATTTTACATTATAATAAGTTTAATTTTCATAATAAATTAAATTTTTAGATTATAATAAATTTAATTTTAATTATTATATCATTAACGCGAATATTTGTGAAACACCAGCCTTACAAAACTAACTATCTCAAAAACTTAATTACATAATATTATATAATAGCATTTTAAAACGTTACTAAAACTATTTTATTTACCTTCTTAAACATAGAAATGTCCACCGTTTGACTATCATTATAAAAATATTTTATATATGGGTTTTCTTAAAAATTTATAAAACATTTGAAATAATTTAAAATTCCGTGAAGTAGCTATTACACTGCTATATAAGCTTGTGCTGTTTTTAAATGTAAAACGTATCTATTACTGTACAGCACAAAAATATATTTAAAAACACGAAGTCTATTTTTCTCTTTAAAATATCCCGCTTATACATTCCTGAAAATTGAGTACCTTTATAAATATTTCTGTTTCTCATAATTTCTTTAGCCCTTTTGTTTTATTAATATTTAGAGTTTAAAAAAATGTTCCAGTTAATTTTAAGAATAAATTTATATTTCGACTTCATTTTAATCTACATGTGTTAGTATAGTTTACTTTTTTACAGCATTTCAAACCAAAATAAGCTTTTTTTAAGTCAAAAAAAATATTTAGAGAGCAAGTCAGAGCTTCAAATAAAATCAACGTATTATATTTATCAAAGAAATCTTATGCATCATGCTGTGGTTTTAAGCTTCTCTAGTTGTTTGCCAGAAAATCGTTCTAGTTATTTTGAATTCAATTATCTATTACCACATTTAAAAAATTTCTTTATATTGCATTGAAAAAGGCACTTATAGTTGGTTTGAATGTGAAAACAATAAGTTTCTTCTAAGAAATTAGCAAATAAAATTTTTTTGAGTTCTTTTGAAATTAATTAACTATTACAACCTTTGATAATTTTCTTATTAATTATTTAAACCTAAACCGCCGAATGGCGCTGACGGCTGTGATATTATCGATTAACTTAAATTTATGCAGCCAATTATAATTTACTCAACTTATTATTTACACACATTTTTATCTCTTAAAACACACCTCATTATAATTCAAATTTCAATCAAAAATTTTTGTACTTAAATAAATTTATTCAAATTTCAACGAAATTCTCTCAAAGATTAATAAATTTTTCTTCTTAAAATTTTATAGACTATGGTGTTTTACAGTTATTCAAATATTCGAGGAATTTTATTTTGAGCATACAGATTAATTTAAATTTCTCCGAATATTATCCCAACGAAATTATTCTTAGTTTCAAAAACCGGTCCTGATATCTCGAATAAAAGCTAATGTTATTCTTTTTAACTAGTTATATTCGTCTTAACAAAACAATTTCCGGGAAAACTTCCCCATCATCTAAATGCTATCGCCACAAAAGTTGAGAAACGGTTTACTGAAGATTTAATTATATAACGACAACTTCTTGGTTGAAAGGCACCTAAAAGCATTTATTATTTTTGCCACGACGGCCACAGCTGGTGGTTTGGCGAGGATTAAACTAGAAGCTCCAGGCGTTGATTCTTAATAGAATTTTAGGAGAAATTCCATTCCTCCCTTATAATCCAAAAGTGCTCAAAAATGCTTTTCAGCTCTTTACCTGCCCCGAGGGATTAAATTTTTGGCTTATTTTGTTTGCTTATAAATGTATTTTTAATGGAATTGTTTTTAAAAACAGGCAGTAATGCGCCTTTTGCCGATAGTTCTAAAGTAGCTTAGTTATTAAAAAAATTTCTTTCAATAGATTTTCCGCAGAAGATAATTTCAGGTCTTAATTACTTTGGCTATGTGAAGTTAAATTTCGAATTAAATCATTAGTTGGCGCTATTTTTAAATAAATTTACTAAGAGCTGAGTTTATTTTGCAAATAACAGTTTCTTAAGACGAGAAACACAAATAGTCAGTCATTATTTGGGTAACGATAATTGTTTGACTATATAAAATTTTTATTTTATCAAAACTTTGTTTAATTTAGTGTATTTAATAAGGAAAATATTTAGACAGCATTTTTATTAAACATTGTACTAAATAAAGAGTTTATTCAGGAAATGTAATTTTTCAAAATGATAATTCTTTAGTGCGGTAAGTTCTTACAAGAGATATTTCGTTTAATTTTAATAGCTGTTCAAAAATTTTATTTATAGCTATTTTTGGAATTTTATTCTGCGTTTTAAAATTTCAAACAAATACAAAATGCAAATATCAGTTTTTGGGATTTTTTTTCGCAAATGAAATTAGTGTTTTTTTTTCTCAGAAAGCTTACATATGGCTTACATACGAAGCCATAAGTAATTTTGAAATTTAATTTAGATGTGCTACCAGTAAATTATTTATATTTTGTTGTAAAAATTTTGGACTGTTAAATTTTTCACCATTTAAATAATGATTTAAAAATGAAATATATATATAAAAAAGTATTTAACATTTATTTTCATGATTTTGAAAGTAATTATGCATTAGAAATGTGATCCTTGTTTTTATAGTATATTTTTATAGTGTAGTAGTAATTTGATTTTAAAGTATTCGATTTGATATTCCAAACTTTAGGTGCATCATCCGTAAAATAAATTTTACCGCAAAATCCATTTTAACTGTAACTTTTACAGTAATTATTTATTTAACTAGTGTGATTTAGCAATTTTTCGGTAATTAATACTGTGAAAATTATGGAATATGAGATTTTGGGTTCTGTAACCTATTCCAGTAAAAAAAGAGGAAAATCCAAAATTAAAAATTTGAAATTTTAAACAATTTTGAAAAAAATAAATTTTTACATGTTTAAAAAAGTTTTAAATTGAATTTTAGAAATTTTCAAAATTCAATTTTTAAAAATCCAACAAATTAAAAAGTTTCGGAAAATTTATTTCGGAAAATCCATAAAAATACCATTGGCTTAATTAATATGATGACTACTGTATTTTTTGAAGCTTTTTTTTAATTAAATACAAAGTTGTCTTAACTTATGTAATTTTTGAACTTAAAGCAAATAAAATGATGAGAAAAAAGTGCATTAAAATTAACAGGTTAAAATTGGACTCGTGATTAAATTTCATTACAAAAACTGAAAATTTGACTTAAAATAAGTAATAAAAAATCAAATCACTTCTAGTTGCATAATCTTATTTTTATTCTTAACAGAAAACGACCCATATATGGTTAGAAAGAATAAATAAAGAATATAACATTTAACTGCATTCTTTCTTTCAACTAAAAAAATGCTGGTAAGAATTAAATGTAACAGCACAATTTTAAAGTGTACAAACAGTAAGTGAAATCAACTGTTCGTGGTGTTTCCCGATCTCTTAAAATTTTTATACAATTTTATTAGGTTTGCCTTTCCAGCGAAAATTCTTAGGGAGTTAAATAAATTACACAGGCCTGCGATGAAAAAAATACAAGAGGTCTGATAGCTGAACTTAATGTATTTTTTGATGCTGAACTGGAAAATAATAATGAAAAATGTCCATCACGTCACGTTTTTTAGAAAAATTCGATTTTACTGGAATTTTTATGGACATTTACCATAAAAAAATTTTTGTTTTTGAATTTCTTCCCTTCTTGACTGACCAGCATTCTACTTTGGTCAAATCTACAAAAGTACCCCTCTATCACTACTTCCTGTCACCGTCCCTCTCTATGTAACAACCTCTCTCTACCATTAGCGTCACAAGAATCCTTATCTAGGTCCACTAACCTCTCAGAAACACTAGCATGCGTATTAGGGAGTCATTTTAAAGTTTGCTTTTTTCTGTACGTTTCGTGAAGCATGGCTTGGAGTTCAAGACATTGTGAAAATCTCCCAGATGACTTTTGCATGCGGTAAATATAGCGTAGTTAAAAATCGCATGAGCAGCATTACAGACTATGTAAGACAAC